GAATGAAAAGTTATGTGCAGATTTTCAACTGCATGGGGTTGAGTGTCCCCAGCCCTAGAGTTGCTTACAGGCTAAATGTAATTTTTTTTTTGTAAGATTTTATTCATTCATGAGAGAGAGAGAGAGAGAGAGAGAGAGAGAGAGAGAGGCAGAGACAGAGGCAGAGGCAGAGGCAGAGGGAGAAGCAGGCTCCATGCAAGGAGCCTGACGCAGGACTCGATCCTGGGACTCCAGGATCACGCCCTGGGCCGAAGGCAGGCACCAAACCGCTGAGCCACCCAGGGATCTCCTAAATGCAATTCTTTTTTTTTTTTTTAATTTTTATTTATTTATGATAGTCACACACACAGATAGAGAGAGAGAGAGAGAGAGAGAGGGAGAGAGGGAGGGAGGCAGAGACATAGGCAGAGCGAGAAGCAGGCTCCATGCACCGGGAGCCCGACGTGGGATTCGATCCTCGGTCTCTAGGATCGCGCCCTGGGCCAAAGGCAGGCGCTAAACTGCCTGCGCCACCCAGGGATCCCTAAATGCAATTCTTTATAAAATATTGATCTTCCTCATTTAGAGGGAAAATTTCTCAGTGCTTTAAAATCTGATCTTTTTTTTTTCTGATCTTTTAAAAGTGTGTTTATGGGTTTTTAACATAGTCAAAGTAGTTCTTGACTCCCCAAATACTGAATTCTATTCTACATCATCTTCATCATCATTCTACATCATCTTCAAAGGCTGCACAGTATGCTATGCTGCAAAACCTGAACTATACATTTAAAACAGATGCATTGGGCAGCCCCGGTGGTGCAGCGGTTTGGCGCCGCTTGCAGCCCGGGGTGTGATCCTGGGGACCCAGGATCGAGTCCCACATCGGGCTTCCTGCATGGAGCCTGCTTCTCCCTCTGCCTGTGTCTCTGCCTCTCTCTCGCTCTCTCTGAATGAATAAATAAATAAATAAATCTTTAAAAAAAATAAAAAAATAAAAATAAATAAAACAGCTGCATTTATCATGTATAAATTACACTTCAATAAAGCTGGTTTTTAAAAACTACTCTGAATGAAATAGGAAAAATTTCTATTCTAAGGCCAAAAAAAAACTCACCCAAGAGCCTGTCATGAGAATAAATTCATAAACTAACAAAGGAGAGCTTCTCTCTGCTTTTTCTTCTCTGTAGGACAGCATTGCTGGCCCCCGGAAATGTTTTTAAGTAAACAACTTAGGATCACGTTTCTACTTAAGTTCTATTGCACCCTTCACTTGGCTTTTAGTATCTGTATTTGCTGAGTGTTGACTATATGCCCAGCTTGGGCTAAAGGCTACACATGTTAATTCATGTATCACTCATGACAACCCCATGAGGTAAGACCCTATCTTATCTACATTCTTACAGCTCTGAAGAGATGGAGCCAGGATTCAAATCTGGGTCCTTCTGTCTCCAAAGCCTGTATGCAAACATTCTGGCTGGAGACAATACCTGCTGGTCCTCTTAGAGGAAACGCTGACTCATGCAGTAACTTTTCTGCATATCTGGGTGCCAGACACAGGGTGGCAGAAACACTATAGGCAACAGCAAAGTCTCTACTCCCAAGAAGCTTATACTTCAGTAGGGAGGAGGGAAAAATGAGAAAGAAGAGAAGGGGAATGGGAATAAGGGGGTAACTGTACTTTTTTTTAAGGATATATTTTTTTAGAGAGTGACTGCAGAGAAAGAGGCAGAGGGAGAAAAAAAATCTTCAGGCAGACTCTCTGCAGAGCACAGAGTCTGAGGACATGGGGCTCAATCTCATGACCCTGAGATCAGGATCTGAGCTGAGATCAAAAGTAAGATGCTTACCGGACTGAGCCACCTTCAGCCACCTAACATAGGTGCCCCGAGGTAAGGTAAGTGTATTTTTAAAGCAGGTAGGGGCAGCCCCGGTGGCTCAATGGTTTAGCGCCGCCTTCGGCCCAGGGCGTGACCCTGGAGACCCGGAATCAAGTCCCACATCGGGCTCCCTGTGTGGAGCCTGCTTCTCCCTCTGCCTCTGTCTCTCACTCTCTCTGAATAAATAAAAAAATCTTTAAAATAAATAAATAAATAAATAAATAAATAAATAAATAAATAAATAAATAAATAAATAAAGCAAGCAAGCAAGCAAGCAAGCAGGTAGGGTGCAGGCTGGGTGGTTCAGCGGTTTAGTGCTGCCTTCGGCCCGGAGTGTGATCCTGGAGACCTGGGAATGAGTCCCACATTGGGCTCCCTGCATGGAGTCTGCTTCTCCCTCTGCCTTTGTCTCTGCCTCTCTCTCTGTGTGTCTCCCATGAACAGATAAATAAAATCTTTATTTTTTTTAAAGATTTGTTTATTTATTTATTTATGATAGACAGAGAGAGAGAGAGAGAGAGAGAGAGAGAGAGAGGCAGAGACACAGGAGGAGGGAGAAGCAGGCTCCATGCAGGGAGCCCGACGCAGGACTCGATCCCGGGACTCCAGGATCATGCCCTGGATCATGCCCTGGACTCGATCCCGGGACTCCAGGATCATGCCCTGGAGGCAGGCGCCAAACCGCTGAGCCACCCAGGGATCCCCCAAAAAATATTTATTAAAAAAAAAAAAATTAAAGCAGGTAGGAAGGGGAAGCAAGACTGAAAGTGGTATCTGACCAAAACTTGAGGAAAAAGGAGTGAGCCACATGACACCTAAATACAGGTGTTAAAGGCAGAGGAGACAGCAAGGAGGACAGATCACCATGGCCAGAGCACAGTAAGCAAGATTATAAAGGAACAAGGTAGAAGAGCTCATGGGGCCGTTGGGGGGTTATAAAGAAAGGAGGGTTGAGGACAGACACATGCCAAACAGGGTCACTGTGCTTGCTGTGTTCAGACTGCAAAGGAACAAGAGGTGCAGCAGGACTGAGTATAAGGACGGTGATGATTCGAACCATAGGCAATGCTCTCCCTCCACAGGCTGCACCTGGAACTGCCACAGGATGGCCCCATGGTTTGCGTAGATTGTGAGAGAAAAAAAGCAGCTCAGGGATGCCTTCACATTGCAGCATGGACAAAAGGCAAAATGGAAATGCCCTCTACCAAGACAGGGAAAGCTGGAGGAGGCAGCAAAGGCAGTTAACATTTGGACACTCTGGGTTTGACAGATCTGTGAAAGGTCTAAAAAGGGACAAATGTTGAGCTGGATGTATGAATCCCGAGACCAGGAAGGACACCTGAGCTGGTGACGGGGGAACACACAGACAGCAGAATACTGAACAGGTACAGACCGTGAGTCCCACTGACATGATCTCATGGGGAGGTCCACATCAGTATTCTTTCTTTCCCTTCACATGTAAGCACTCTCTTCACACTTTTTCCACTTCTTGCAAACACTCTGCCCATCCCCCTGTCCATTTACTCTCTTTTCTTCTTCAACAGGAACATTCAGAACATTTGCTTCAGGGACACCTGGGTGGCTCATCGGTTGAGCATCTGCCTTTGGCTCAGGACATGATCCCTTGATCCTGGGATCGAGTCCTGCAGTGGGCTCCCTGCATGGAGCCTGCTTCTCCCTCTGCCTCTCTCTGTGTGTCTCTCGTGAATAAATAAATAAAATCTTAAAAAAAAAAAATTGCTTTGCAGACAAATACCATAACATAGTTAAGAGTACAAGTTTTAAGTAAGAAAGCCTGGATTTACTCTGCAGGTGTTACTTACTACCTCGTTTCACAAGGACAATATGACCTCCTTCCCAGACTACGAGAATCCTGTGGTACAACAGCGGTGCCTGGAATGTGTAAATGTCCTCCAAAGAAAAGCTATGGCTGTTAAAGATGACAAATCTGGGGCATATGGGAAAGAGGAAGCACAACACAATCAAACGTCCTTGGAGATGGCCGAATACAGCACAAATTGATAAGAACAAGTGAGATGGGGGAGAAGACTTGGGTGTTTTGAGAGAAGTCAGAAAAATGACTGGCAAATTTAAGAACACAGGATGTGATAGAAATACTGGGGAGACAGCCTGCTGTGTGTTCAATTGTGGGAATTGGGAGATAAGCACAGGAAGGTTAATACTACTCTTGTTTTTGTACATGTTTGAATCTTTTTATGATAAAAATGTCAAAAAAGAAAGAAGGAAGCATGACAATAAACAGGGTAGAAAGGAGGGAGTTGCTTCTGGTCTCAGGATCAGAACAGGAAAAAGGAGACTGCAGGGAATCTGAAGAAAGGGCCTGGTCCCACCTCCACCCCAGACTCCACCCCAAGGCCGTCTCTCACCTTGGAGGGGAGGTCGATAATCTCGGAACCAAACTCCAGAACTGGTAGCCCACCCACATTCCCTGTCCTCTATGATGGGCTCCTAACTTGTCAACTTTACCTAAAGTTGGGTGCAATCCAAGACCAAGAACGAGCTAAAGAAGAGTCGCTGGTTTCCCCATCACCTTCAGACCTCCTGCGGCTTGTTCAACCAGTCGGGCACACCGTGGACACTCTGCCCGCACAGGGAGGTCAGAAAAGCCAGACGAAAACGATGCACGCACAAGCCCAGATACTGACTGTGGCCAGCTGAAGAATCCCCAGGGGGCGTTTACTCCTTCACTTCACATCCACCATCTACCTGCTCAGGGGACGCAGCGAGAAGCAAGCAGAACACTCAGCCCCGGGGCGCGAGCAGGGGACGAGATGGTCTATAGGGGCCCGGACCCCCAAGTGCTCCCTGGACGCAGCGCCCCACCCTAAACTAAAGCGAACGCGCCCCAAAGCCTGAGACCGGAGACCCCGACCACAGGTTGCGGACCCGCCCCCAAGGCGTCACGACCACGCCCACTCCGCGGCGGCCCAAACACGCAACGCCCGACCTCCACGCTGCAGCCCGAACCAACGTAGCTCCGCCCACCACACCGCCCGCCCCCTCGCCGATTTGGCCCCGCCCAGCTGCAGCCCAGACGAGTCGCCCCGCCCCCGTGACATCAGGGCCCCGCCCCTCCCACCGCCCCCTCCCACCGCCCCCACCCCCGGCAGCCCGGTTCCTCACCAGCTCGAACCGGTTGTTGACGCAGACACCCTCCTTGCCTGCGCCCCGGGAGCGCCGGCCACCTGGACCCCGCTTTGGACCTTCTTCTTCCGCATCATCGTCATCGTGGAGGACAAACTGCAGGGCGCCGGGCCCGAGGGGCTCCTGGCCGCGCTGTTCCCCCCTCAGCCTCCGGAGGGCCCGGCGCGACATAGGACCCAACGGCCGCTGACGTCTGGAGACCGGGAGAAGGAAGAGCAGAAAAGAGAACGGCTGGCGCGCCTGCGCACTTACGGCGCGCTGGCGCGAGGCTGGCGTGTCACGTCTGCGCGTTGAGGTTCTCCGGAACTTCCTCTCCGTCACCGGGGGCATCAAAGAAGGTGCGGGCAGTCCAGACGAAGTCTCGCGCGAGTTGGGCGCCACCACGCGGCCATCCCTCCCGCGGCGGCCGCGCTGGGTACTCACAGCTGGCCTTCCTAAGGCGTGTCCGCGACGGATGTCGGGGCCACTTGGACTCCGAGCCGTCTACACCGGGACCTAGACCCTGCTGTCCGAGAGCGGGCTCGCCGGGCGGGAGGAAGCTCAGCTGGGGCTCCGTGAGGAGGGGATGCGCGCAGGGGCACGGTGCACCTGTGGCGGTGCGCAGGTGACAGCTGGGCGGCGCGGAGCCCGCCTCCGTGGCTGCCGGGGGGACCTTCTCTCCTTCCTGAGAGTAAACACGTCAAAACCCAGGACCCTCCCAAAGCTGCAGATTTCTGGATTTCTGCAGATTTCAGTGTTAGGGGCCGGACTGGGAGTTTGCCTTTTGTCGTCGTGAATGCGTCCCAGGTGACTCTCCCGATAATCGGGGTATGGGAATCCGTGGTCTGAGGTGGAGGCTCGCCACCCTCCCTGTGTTTCAAAACCTCCTGGCGAGATTTGTACAATAAAGATCAAGGACCCATCCCTAGAAATTCTGAGATGGGGTCAGGCATTGATATTTCTTAAAAACTCTTTAGAGGATTAAAATATGCAGGCCTACACCGCAGAGGCCCAAATGCAGGAGGGAGAGGCTCTGGTGTGTGCTAGAATAGAGGAGAGGGCAGCCTTGAGTGTGGGGATGGCACTGTACTAATCCTTCTATCCTGGGAAGTGGGTATGCCCACCCCAATTGGGAACTGAGTCTCCAGACACACACAGGGAGAGGGTGTGTGCACACAGGTGTGCCTGGCTGGTCTGTCGGCCTGTACTGGTCATCAGGCTCTTGCATTACTTCACATCGCCTGAGGTAGCTGCTGTCTCTAGCTCCCCACATGCCTCATCCTCTCCAGCCATGCCCCTGTAGTCCCCTGGAATTTACCCTCCCTACCTCCCATAATCCTGTTAAAGAGCTATGCTCAGGACAGGTGGAACCCCCCAGGACGCCGCTCTCTTGTCCATTCTATTTGTCCAAGGCCGGGCTAGTTGTTAAATAGATTTGGTGTCACCCCTAAAGTGTGTGACCAATTTATGCAGATTTCTTGCCTCACCTGTGGATGAAAACTTGGGGAGTCTCAGCCTGGAGTTGCCTCCTTTGCCTTCCACAAGAGAGCAGTCATGTGATGCTGAGCGATGCAACATCAGGCCCACTTGAAGTTCTCCCTGTACCACTGAAGGCAGGCGTGGCCCTTAGGAGTTAGGTTGTAAACCATTCAGTTCTAAACAAAGTGATCTCCATTTGTCACAATGTAAATTAGGTGAGGTGGAGACAGGGCTTGGTTCACTGGGCTGACTGCATAGCTTTCAGTACCTAGGGTCAGCAGAAGGCGAACCCCGAGACAAAGTGGAACCCTTCCAACATCACCTTCAAGCTTTTATGTGGGCCCTTCGCAGCTCCACCCAGCTCTCTCTTCTTTTTAAGAGGGAGAGGGGAGCAGAAGGAGGAGAGAGAACCCTAAGCAGGGAGCCCAATGCAGGGTTCGATCTCCTGACCCTGAGATCATAACCTGAGCTGAAATCAAGAGTCAGACACTTAACTGACTGAGCCATCCAGGCGCCACTTTGCTTTCTCATTTTTAAATAAGAATAAAAATATTCCTTGCCCATGAAGTGCCCAAAAGTGTTGGAAGCTGGCTGTTTTTATTGGCTATTGTAATTTGGTATAATTGAATGTCATGGACCCCAGCTGATGAAGGACCCTCTCCTGCAGGCCCATCTATTAAAAGTCCCGTCCCTCAGGGCCTCCTCCAGGCCCCTGTCCATATGGCAGGGAGTTAGAGCCTGGCATCTGATAGACCTGCATTGAAGTCCCACGTGAGCTATGTATCTTTGGCCAAATTCCTTCCTCTCTTGAACTCGATTTCCTTACCTGTGAGATGACAACAGAAGCCACCTCCCAGATGCATGTGGCAGGCAGAGCATGTAGGTGATTTTCCATCCAGTCTCCTGAAGAGCAGAGTTGCCCCTACCCATCAAACCCTAAGGGAATCATCTCCCCAGAGAACAGGAATAGGGATCTGGGGAGGAGGCCAAAGGGCCAGGCTGGCAATTTGTAGGCATCACGCTGAGCCACATGGAGCCCTGCCAGCCGTGAGACCAAGATGGCCAGATGATGAAGTTGGGGCATCATGGACAGGAGTGGGCCTGAGCACCCTCCTGTCGTGGTGGGCATCCTGAATGTGCACCAGAGGGCAGGTGACCCCTCAGAGCCCAGCTTCTGAGAATGTGCCCACCACTGTGGCTCAATAGTCCTCAGTCCACACCCCAGACAGAAGGCTGTGAGACCACCTTTATTAGGCCAAGAGCAGCCATGTGTACAAATTTACAGAGTTTCTTCCTGGACCAGGACCGCCAGCATCACCAGGGCCCTGGAACCAGCACCATCTCTGGACCTCTGAGTCTGTGAGGACAGCAATACCAGCCAGATGTGGCAGATGGCTGGGGAATGGATGCTGGGTAGGGGGCAAGGAGTGAGCTTGGCCTTGGACCTTCCAATTGGAAGGGTGAGATGGTGCTAGGAGAGTATCTATCCACTGATGGTCTTCCTGGCTGTGTCTGCAGGCCAGGTTCTGCTCAGAGCACAGAGGCCAGCAGAGTGCTCCTGCCTACCTGGGGACCAAGGTGTCCTGTCCCAGTCTGGACATCCACCTAGGGAGGGGAAGCTGCTGTGTTCTCATCCTTGGGATGGAGAAGAGAACAAATACAGGGGTAGGGTCTTTCAGAGCTCTATTATCTAGAATCCACTGCTGTCCTTCCTGAGTGAGAAAACCCATTCCTGCCCCATCCTGTACCCCACCCAAGGACTCCCAAAAGGAAATTACCTCCCCCAGGGAGGGTCCTGGAGTGAGCCTGACCCTAAATAAACTCTGGGGCCAGGAGACATGTATATAAATATATAGGCTGTGTGTATATATTATATAAATGTATCTATATATGTATATATATGTACATGCACACTCAGGAGGGCAGGCTAGCAGCTATGCCCCAGAATGGGGAGTTTCTCAAACATGTCCAGGCCTAGCCTGGCTCCTCCCCAGATGTCTGGCCTCCTTGAAATGTCTCTGGCTGGGTGGTCCAGTAAGGCTGAGAGCCATTACTTGAAGTTGAGAGTCCAGGTGTTAGGGATGTAGAGGGACTGCGTCTGGCGGGTACGGCGAGGCGTAGTGTTGAGTGCATCCACACTCTTGCGGCTAGAGCGCACCACGTCTGCCACAAAGCTGGTGCAGTCGCTGCAAACATCCTTGCGGATACAGCCGTGGGTATAGATGTGTGGGAATGCCTCCTCCACACTCTGCCACTGGGGCCCCTGCAGGGATCTGAAATAGGACAGAGCCATCAGGGAAGTCCCACCTGCCATATTTCCCCACAGCAAAAGCTTTTCCTCAAGAGTTAGCTGGAATCCTGGGGTCTGCTAGGAGTTCAATTCCCATCTCCTACTACTTAGTCCCCAAGACCCCCATGAGGTATCTCTTTCTAGACAAGTGCTTTGGATTTCCGTGTCCTGGGAGTGTCCTAGCAAACCATCCCACCCACCCCAGCTTTTGTATTACTGTCAACGCCTGACCACATCAGCAAAGGGTAAAGGAACACACTGGAAGGCATCTCTTCTCTGGCTTGGTGTAGGTTTGGTAGTTGACACCCTCCGAGGACTCTCAAAGCCCAGCGTGTAGACGGGAATGTGTGCAAACTTCTTAGAAGGCATCTTCATCTACAACACACAGAGGGAGAGGTGGACCCCCCCGACAGACACACCCATCAACAGCCGCGTGCTCTGGGCCTGCATGACACCCTGGCAATGTCTGATGTGGGCTCTCTGAAGGCATGTGCCCACCCCTGCTTGTTACCCACACCCAACCACAACTTCTGCCCATCTAGACAGGTACTTGCACCACACACGGTCTAGCATCATGTCCTATATGCAGTAAATTCTTCATGTCAAAGAGGTAGAGGTTTCTCAGTGGTGAAATAATAAAAAGGAGTGAAGATCATAGTGGTCACTCTTCCTCTGCAGCAGGCCCTTGTTTCTAGGCTGAGGTGTACCGGGATGATATAGTTCCAAATGTGATTATGTTTCTGTATCTATACACCTGCATGTACACAGACACCGCAAGAACCTTTCCAAAAACATTCAAGGAAATTGTGTCAGAATGTAGGACTTTTAGAGGAGAAGTGAAGGGTTTTCTTTTCAGCCTGCTAACATGGAATGTTAAAAAGAACATTAAAAAAAAAAACACAAACACCTACAAGGGTCTTTAAAAACCACATAGTCTTGGAGTGCCTGGGTGGCTCAGTTGGTTAAGGGCCTGACTCTTGATTTTGGCTCAGGTAATGATCTCAGGATTGTGGGATCAAGCCCCACATCCCACTCTGTGCTCAGTGGGTTGTCTGCTTAAAATCCTCTCTCTCCCACTGTAAAAAATAATAATAAAAATAAAAACTATACAGTCTTAGAAAGTATAGGAATGGGTTGCTTGTGGAGGAAGGAGATGGACAAGGTGGCTCATCTGTGTGTGACCAGCTTGTAGGAGACAGAACCTCTGTCCCCCCTCAGCTCCCTGCTCTGCCCCTCCTGACAAGCCAGGTCAGTCACAGGACACCTCAGACCCCAGATGATCCTTACCTTTATGCTACAGGAAGTGCAGACAGCCCTGGAAGGGAAAGAGGAAGGGCAGCAGGGTCAGCTGGGAAGAGGCCACAGAGGAACAGGTCCTGCCAGTCAAACTGTCCCTGCCCTCTGCTTGATCCCCAGTTACTTCAGTATTTATTTTATTCCCAAATCTTGCTTTTCTTTTTAATTAGCTGTACATCTCAAGTATTTCTGCCCCTCACAGCTCTTTCTGTGGACCATTTAGTCTGGGGAGTTTCATGCCCTCTATACCTGTGTGAGCCCAACACTCCCAATCAGAGCCAGAGGGGCCACTCTGTTTTAAGCAGTGATTAACATCTTTTTATTCTCCATTCCTGATTTCAAAAATGAACACGTTCTTGTAAAAACCCTGATATTAAAAAAAAACCCTGATATTAAGAAAACTGCAATAGAGACCCAAGAGTCCTGCCGTGTAAAGCCCATCCTCAGAGGCAATCCCTGCAGACCCGTTTCCCACCTCCAGATCTCTCTAAGTGTGACTGACAAAGATACACATTTACACATAAAATAAAAATAAATGAAATGGGGTATGATATGTACTATTCTATAAAGGTAAAGGTAAAGGTAAATCTGTCAGGGGACAAATTGTCCAAATCCATTTTTTTTTATTTTTGCCAAATCCATTTTTTAAAACAAGGGACGATGTCATCTTGCATGAACATTTCATTTTATTTTATTTTTTAAAGATTTTATTTATTTACTCATGAAAGACACAGAGAGAGAGGCAGAGACACAGGCAGAGAGAGAAACAGGCTCCATGCAGGGAGACTGACATGGGACTCATCCTGGGTCTCCAGGATCACACCCTGGGCTGAAGGTGGCCCTAAACCGCTGAGCCACCCGGGCTGCCCTTGCAAGGATATTTTTATACTTGGTTTGCCATCTAGAACCGTCTAGGTTAATTTTATTTTATTTTTTTTAATTTTTATTTATTTATGATAGTCACACACAGAGAGAGAGAGAGAGAGAGAGAGAGGCAGAGACACAGGCAGAGGGAGAAGCAGGCTCCATGCACCGGGAGCCCGACATGGGATTCAATCCCGGGTCTCCAGGATCGCGCCCTGGGCCAAAGGCAGGCACCAAACCACTGCGCCACCCAGGGATCCCTAGGTTAATTTTATTTCACTGTGGTCAGGGAACTTACTTTCCATGACTTGAGTCCTTCTACATTTATGAGACTTGTTTAATGACCCAGAATATGGTCTATGTTAGAAATGTTCTGTGTGTAATTGAGAAGGAGTACTTAATGCTGAGGCTGAGTGTAGTGTTCTATGAATGTCAGATCAAATTGGTTGGTAGTGTTCAAGTCTTCTATATCCTTAATATTTTTCTGTCTACAAGTTTTATCAGTTGTTGAGAGAAAACTATTGACTCTAATTATAACAATGGATTTATCTATTTTTCCTTACAACTATATCAGATTCTTACTCCTTGTATTTTTTACTTCTGTTGTTAGGTATGTCAAGTGTTTAGAAGTTTCTTTCCTCCAATAATGTTATGACAGAAATGCCTCTATCTCTGGTCATATTCTTTGCCATCTACATTGAAATTAATACATCATCTATCTTTTGACTAGTATTGGCATGGCGTATCTTCTCCATTCTCCTAACCAATCAGTGTCTCTTTATGTCAAGTACATGTGTTGCAGGCAGCAAATAGTCTTGCTTTCATAATTCAGTCTGGGACACTACCTTCTAGTCCTCTTGTTCAGGCCTTTTACAGTTAACTATGACACGGCGGGGTTGAGGACTGTCATTCTGCTTTTTGTTTTCTTTTTGCCCTATGTGTTCTTTGTTCCCTTTTCCTTTTTCTGTCTTCTGTATTAATCAACTTTTTTTTTTTTATGATTGCATGCTATTCCTCTGCTTTGTTATTATAGTGGTTGCTTTCAGACTTATACTGTACTTCTGTAACAGTAACAGTTACTTCTGTAACTTCTGCCTACTGTCTTCAGGTAGAGTTTAAGAAACCTCCAACAGCACACTTCTGATCCCCTCCTTGGCCTGAATGCAATGCCATTGTTATGATAGCTTTTACTTATAGATAGGTTATAAATCCTCTAATACACTGCTGTTAAATTTTTGGCATGCCTAGTAATCATTTATTGGATACCAGATACTGAATTTCACTCTGTTGGTACTGGATCTTGATTTACCTTATAAAGAGTTATAAGAAAATAACCTTTTATGTTAGTAATTGCTACTTCTGGTGCTATTTCTTTGCATAGATTCAGGTTTCCAGCTGGAGTCATTTTCCTTCTCTGTGAAGGACCTCATTGAACATTTGTTTTAGTGTGGGTCTACTGTGAAGAGTTCTTTTGGTTTTTGTATTTCTGGAGATGTTTTTACTTTTTGTCTTTGTTTTTGAAGCATATTCTTACTGGGTATTGGATTCTAGATTGACAGTTTTTCAGTCCTTCAAAAATGCTCTTCTTGTTCACGTTATTTCAGTGAGAAGCCTGCAACCACTCTTGTCTGTCGTCTATATGTCTTTATTTGCTGGCTGATTTTAAGAATTTCTCTTGGGGCACCTGCATGGTGCAGTACGTTAAGCATCTAGTCTCTCTCTCTCTTTTTTTTATTTTAAAGATATATTTATTCATGAGAGACACAGAGAAAGAGGCAGAGACGAAGGCAGAGGGAGAAACAGACTCCCTGCAAGGAGCCTGATATGGGACTTGATCCCAGGACCCCAGGATCATGCCCTGAGCCGAAGGCAGATGCTCAACCATTGAGCCACCCAGGTGCCCCAACATCTAACTCTTGATTTTGGCTCAGGCCATGGTCTCAGGGTCATGGGATCGAGCCCCACGCTGGGGTCCGTGCTCAGCAGGGAGCCTGCTTGTCCCTCTCCTTCTGCTCTTCCCCTTGCTCTCTGTCAAATAAATAAATAAAATCTTAAAAGAAAAGAGAATTTCTCTTTGTTATGATTTTGATCAATTTGATTAATAGGTGCTTTGGTATAACTGTACTCAGATTCCTTTTGCTTGGGATTGAGTTTCTTGTGAGTGTATATTTTTCATCAAATTTGAAACACATTTTTAACTATAATACTTTTTCTGTCCTCTCTCCTTTTCCTTGGGAAGCTTTAATTACATCTGTATTAGACTTAACATTATCTGACAGCTCACTGACACCATTTAATTTTTTAAGTTATTTTTTCTCTCAGTGTTTTCACTTTAGATAGTTTCTATTGCTTTGTCTCTGAGTCCACTAATCTTTTTCTTCCATACATTATTCTGAATGTTCAATCTGCCGATAATCTCATCCACTGTAGTTCCAAATATTCATCCAAATATCCTTGTTTTCATGTCTAGAAGTTTGTGTCTTCTCCAAATCTTTCTTGCCTGTAACTTTTTGAACATATGAAATGCAGTTCAAGGGATGCCTGGGTGGCTCAGTGGTTGAGCATCTGCCTTTGGCTCAGGGCATGATCCTGGGACCCGGGATCAAATCCCATATATCAGGCTTCTTGTGGGAAGCCTGCTTCTCCCTCTGCCTGTGTCTCTGCCTCTGTCTCTCTGTGTGTGTCTCTGGTGAATTAATAAAAAAAACTTAAAAAAAAATGCAGTTCAAACCTTGTAATGTCTGTATCTACTAATTCTAACATCTGTGTCAGTTCTGGGTGATTTTGATAGATATTTCTGCCATGGATTGTGTTTTCTTGCTTTTTGGCATGCCTGTTACCCCATCTTTGCTGAAAGTGGGAGCCCCTTAGCTATTAAAACTAAATAAAAAATTAAAATCATGTTCCATAGTTGCACTAGGCCATGACACATGATAGAACATCCCCACAAGGACAGGAAGTTCTACTGGACAGTGCTGGCTCAGAGACTCTTACCTCCTCCTCCCATGTTAATTCACAGCCAGGGTGCTTACAGAGGCTCACCTCTTGCAAAAGAGACAGGTGGGTGGCCAAGAGAACAGCGGGAACTTGGTTCGGCAGCAGCAGCAAATCTGTAAGAAAAGACCCAGATTAGTTAGTTCTGCATGGTGAAGAAGCCACCTGGGATTCAGGCCAGCTTACCTTCCCCTTCTTCAGACTGCTGACAAGCTCCTTGTCCTGCAGGAACTTCTCCATCTCAGCCTTCACCAGCACGCGGCGCACATCCATCACCTCCTCCACAGTCAGAGCAAGGCTCTCCACAGGGTGGCTGAACTCCTGGGGACGGAAGGGTCAAGGGGTGGGTGCTCCTCAGGCCTTAAGGAATGAGGCTACTTGGGAGTCTATCCACAAGCTTCTCTCTTCTCTGAGGACTCTGGAGTGCATGGCCTCAGACTATCCAAGCCTAGCAACCTCCTAAAACACCCCATTCTTCAGCTCCTCTATCCCTGGGAGCCACATAGGCTTCTCATGACTTCTCTCATGGAATCCTACAACAGCAAGCAAGGTTTCTTGGGACCTGGCCCCAGCCCATGGATGACCACATCCCCTCCAGCTACCCCACCAGTGTTCACAGTGCTCTCCAGACTCCAACCTTGTCCCTCACCTGCACACAATACCACAGCCAATCAGAATCAGCCAGGGTCTCCTGTCCCACATCTTCTCTTCTTGCTACCCTTCACAAAGGTCTCTCCTCCCTGGCAGCGGAAGGCCCTAGGCACCTCCTGCCTGTGTTGGCCCATCTCTAGGTGGCACGTGTCCTACCTCCACAACCGCCTACCTCTTTAGGCCGCCATGGTGAGTATACCTTGTTCTGCCTTTCCCTCCATGGAGGTTAGTGTGGAGCTCGACCTCTCAAATCCAGCTCCTCTCCTAGAAAGTGGAGTTGTATTCCAGCTCCATTGAGATAACACATAAAGCCCTTAGCACAATACCCGACACCCCAAATTTAAAATGTTAGCTTGGGGCAGCCTAGGTGGCTCAGTGGTTTAGCACCGCCTTCAGCCCAGGGCCTGATCCTGGGGTCCCAGGATCGAGTCCCGCATTAGGCTCCCTGCATGGAGCCTGCTTCTCCCTCTGCCTGTGTCTCTGCCTCTCTCTCTCTGTGTCTCTCATGAATAAATAAACAAAATATTAAAAAAAAAAAAGAAGCAGCAGCAGAAGTGAGCCTTCCTCTTTCCCAGTTGCCCCTGAGTTATGTGGAGGCTCACATACACCCAAAATTCAGCTTCACCCACATTCCAGCACTATGGCCAAGGAAGGTATTGCTGCTGGAGGTGTTATGGACATTAATACTGCTTCCCAAGAGGGGCTGGGGACCACCCTCATCCATAGTGGCTCAGCACGTGGAATTTGTGAAGCTGCCACAGCCTTAGACACTAGCCAAACCCATCACTGTGCACTTGTATCACTCAACTGTGATGAGCCTGCATGTTAAGTTGGTGGGGGTGCTTTGTGCTGATCACAAAGTCAACCTAATTAATAGGTTGATGACAATGAGAAATTAGGGAGATGAGGGGCCTCTATAAAACTGACAGGGAAAACCCCATAAAGTGGTTGGTTGTGTGTGGTGGTTAAGGGCTAGGACAAAGAGGCTGAAGATGTCATCGAGGAATACTTCAAACGCGAGAAAAGAAAAAGTAAAAAATTTGGTTCTGGTTCCTCACCGAAGTGGAGGGGGGAGCCTTAGTTCTCCTCCCCTGAGAATGTACTTAGTGACTCAATTGTAATGAACAGATTAAAGTGGAAATAACAAGGAGTCACTTCTGAGACTTGGTGTCTCTCAGACCATGAGCCCTGGGGGAGCCTGATGCCACTTCCTAAGAACACTCAAGAGCCCTGGGGCAGTCCATGTGAGAAGCCACATTCCAGTGTAACCCCCAAGGTCTGAGCCACCTCTGGATTCCTGACCCTCAAACTGTGAGATAATAAAAATTTATTTTTTGCACTTTTAAGTTTTGGGATAATTTTTTTTTTGGGGGGGGGGGATAATTTTTAATGCAGCAATAGCTAACACATGATTTAGTGGGAATATCATTACTAATACTGCCTTACATTTGCATAGCACTTTTCAAAGCATTTTAACATCTGTTCTCATTTGAGCCTCTTGACAAATTTCAAGGAAAGGGCAATGATACCACCAGTGACCTCCGGATGCCCTGTGTTCACCAGGCTCTGCACCACTGTCATCCCTTTGATGACATCATACCCCAAGGCTCAGATCCAATACCAGCAGCTGTCAGCCCTTCACAATTCCACTTCAGACAACAAAACTCACAGCTGAGGAAGGTAAGCAGTGCAGGAGCAGAGTCGAGGTCTTGGCCCTATAAGGTGCTCTGTCACAGCTCACTGCCTTCAGACGTGGGGCTCCAGCTTCTCATCGGCCTTAACCCTCAGAGACAGAAGCAAGAACTTCCCATGCCCGCTGTCCCCTTAGGAAGGTCCTGTTTTGACTGGGGGCTGCAGTGTTCAGAAGGCCCAAAAGGTAACAGCACCACTGGCACTGTGGTATTGTGCGCAGATTTGGTGGCTCTAGAGCAGACCTAGCCACACTGTCTAAAGGAGCTATCCCAATCCTGCTAGGCCTTGTCCCGGGGAGATGCCCCATCCAGTCACCATGGACAACAAGGCCTCTGTCACTCACCAGCCACAGGTGATTGGTGTCTGGGGCCGCAGAAGCTGCTGGCTTGTCCTCTGCTGAGTCTAGGTCACTGGGTGGTAGGGAGCTGGGGTCAGGCTGGGCTTGGACTCTCACAGGGAAGGAACCTGAGGCAAGAGCACAGAAGCCCTATGAAGACAACCCAGCAGAAACTGTGGTGTGGGAGGGCTGTGCCCAGGAGTGATGGAAAGGCTGGCCCGGCAGTGGGGAAGCAGGACAGGTAGACAGCATGTCAACCACACAAGGGGCAGGTATGTGCGGTGGGCCCCATATTTGATCCCTGTTAATGGGCCAATGCTTGGAGTCCCATAGCAGCCAACAGTGAAAGCAGATGGTGCTTGTCTCCCAGGAAGACTGCATCCTTCTAAAGAATCACTCAATGCCCTTCAGCAGAAAGGGACGGAGAAGAAAGAGGCAGATTCATTTCCACCACAGGGGATCTGAGTCCTAAGGTGAGTTGTAGGGGGACAGTGAGGTATGGAACTGGCCTGGCCTGGTCTGGACCTCTTCACTCCAGAAAGTGAGTCAGCTACTGAATGGGACCTCGCTGAAAGTGGCAAGAAAGCATGGCTCAAGGTAGCCCTGAGGGCAGAGAGGGTGGCCTGGACATGTCTGATAGGAAGTGGTAGGGGAGGGGGCAGATGACAACCCCATGTCCTGTCAGCACCTGGGGAGCACAGCCCTTACAGCAGTGGGACTAATGCATGCCATATGGCCAGTTGTTTTGACCTTTGTGCTGAACAACAGGGAAAGCAGCTGATGACAAGTCAGGTTCTAGAGTGGTAAGTGTTGCATAGTCCATCTGGTTCATTGCAGACATGTTTTAATTGACAGGGGAAAAAAAAAAACCCTAGAAAGATCTGTCAATCACCTTACCCATCCATCTATTTGTTTATCCACCTGCTTATCCACCCATCATCCAACCATCCATCTACTCATCATCTATCTATTCATCCATCCATCCATCCACCCATCACCCATCTTACATCCACCCATTATCCATCCATCAGTCATCTATCCTTCTATCATTCATCTATCCACCCATAATCCATCTATAATCCACCTATCCATCCATTCATCTATCCTTCTATCATCCATCCACCATCCATCTATACACCCATCATCCGTCAATCCATCCTCCATCTGCCCATTTTTCTTTTCATATCCAATATATTAATAGTAATTATCTCTCAATACTAGAATCTGAAGTTTTTAAAAAGTATTTTACAAAAATGTGGATTACTAATTTAATAAGAATGTTTTAAAGTGTAAAAAGTGGAGGATGCTGGGGATCCTTGGGTGGCTCAGTGGTTTAGTGCCTGCCTTTGGCCCAGGGCGCAGTCCTGGAGACCCGGGATCGAGTCCCGCGTTGGGCTCCCGGCATGGAGCCTGCTTCTCCGTCTTCCTGTGTCTCTGCCTCTCTCTCTCTCTCTCTGTGTCTATCATGAATAAATAAATAAATCTTAAAAAAAAAAAAGTGGAGGATGCCTGCCTGAGGCAATAAGATAAGTCTGGGTTTGACCTTTAAACATCCTTCGTGCAGACGTGAGCTCCCTGTGCCCTCTGGGAGCTACCTGCTCAGGAAGACAGGACATGGTGCCCACACATGACACAGTCAAGGGAGGAGGGGGTGAGAGGCATCACTTGCCTTGTTCCTGGGTGCTTGACCTCCAGGAATGCACACTGCCTGCACGGGGCCGGGATGATTCCAACCCTCCTTGGGGCTGAGTGGCTGGCTGCAGGCTAGAGGCCACTTCACTCCGTAGCTGGACCAGGTCATGCTCTGAGAAAGAGCGGTCCCGTTTCAGTGTCACCTCCCCACACGGAGATTCTTCCTCCTGTGGACACACCAGACTCAGCCCTGATCACCCGGCATGCCAGCACCTCCTGTCTGTCCCTGGACTGGCAGGGGGCTGCTGCTGGGCCCACTGACACCATGGGGCCATCCTCTACCCACTGCCCAGCCTGACTATCCTCTAGACAGTGGAAGGCAAGGACCTCAAAAACCAAACCCTTCCCTGAGGCCTGTGGAAAGTCCTAGAGATGACAGGTCTGGTGTCAGGTGCAGCCCACTGAGATAGCTACCACCCCTGGTTTCCCTGGGCTCTAAGGGCAGTGATGACATGATTGGCGGGGGGGGGGGGGGGGGGGAATCACACTGAGACACATTGGCTTTTCACATAAGCCAGGGGGCTGCTTAGCTTCCCAAGTCCAATGATGGAGCATGTACATTCCAGCCCTTTTTGTGCTATGGGAATAGGTGGCCCAAGGTCACTGTTACAGTCACCTGTCTGAGCCACCAAATGGGGAAGTGTTCCCAAGTCCCACCATGTTTGGTCTCAGGGCAGACCCAGCCCCACAGCAGGACACCAGCTCCAAAGAAAAGTGCTGCCCTCAGCCCTGAGCAGTGGATGTCCACAGCTGAATGCTAAACACTGGCTTTACTCAGCCCTTCTCAGTTGCCCCTCCTCCTCCTCCCTGGCCTCTTTCCAGGAACCCATGGGCTCTGACCTCAGATGTGTTCATCTCCTCCATCTCAGCCAAGGTGGGTGCCTTGAGCAAGACCCGGGGCCGTGGGCGCTGACTGTTGTTCCCGGCATCCGTGATGGACAGGTTGATGCAGGAAGTGGATTTGGAATCCCCAGAACAGGCATTGAGGATGCAGGGCAGAGAGCCAAACCCTGGTGGAGGCAGAGAGGTGGGGCAGGACAGGAAAGTGAGGAGGTGGGGACGGAGCAGGAAGGGAGAAGTGATGGAGGGAAGGTGGGCGGGGGGAGGGGTTCTATGCTCACCCCGGCCACCCCAGCATTGGCCTCCCACTGGGCGCAGCCTCCGCTCCTGCTTGATCTCCTCCAGGATCTTCTCATGCAGGGTCCTCTGCTTTTGAGGTAAGGGGCGAAGCCTTCTCTCTGAGACCTGGAGGGAGTATGGCAGCTCCAGGAAGGAAGGGCAGTGGGGCTGTGTCATGGACACACTGGAGTGGGGAGGAACCCTGCTGGCACAGCCAGGCCTGTCAGGAGCTGGCACACCGGGGGCAGACTAGAAGGTGACCTGTGTACTGCCGGGGCCCCCAGGTCCATCTCAGAATCTACCTTCCAGCTACCTCCACTGGTAGAGATGCCACTCTGCCCTTGGGGAGAGAAGGCCAAGAGTGGGGGCCCCACATAGCTGGTACCTGTTTCAGTGGAGGGCGGGAGCGGATGAAGTCCAGGATGAGTTCATGGGCATCCTTCTTCACCCTGGGAGGGATGTCTCCATCGACCTGTAGGGGAGGATGGGAGGCAGCCAAGGCTGAGGGCAGGAGCTGGGCTGGTCCTCACACCATCCTTCCCTGCAGGGGCTGCATGGCAGGGACAAGGCAGCTATGACACAACCACTAGCTTCCCTACATCTCAGGTCCTTCCTGTGGAAATGAAGGTCAGTGGCACCCCTCTCACTCACTTGTTCTAAGAACGAAATGAACTCACACATTTAACATTTGCAAAGTGAAGCCAGTACCCAGAAGGCCTATGTGAGCATAAAATGAGACAATCCCACAATTTCAGCTCCTGCTACTGGTCCTCCCAGAATCCTCCACGCATCCTTTCTGTCTGCCCTTGTCACACTGCATCCCTGATGTCACACCACGTCCCTGGTGTCACACCCCGCCCTTCATGTCACACCACGTCCCTGATGTCATGCTGCATCCCTGGTGTCACACTGCATCCCTCATGTCACACTCCATTCCTGGTGTCACACCATGTCCCTCATGTCATACCATGTCCTTCATGTCACACTGTGTCAAGTGAGCCAGGTGAATCAGGGCCATATCTGCCTGTGCACATCTGAAAACCCAGCTCAGTGGCCACACACAGAGCGGGGGCTCCAGAACCACCAGTGAGCAGAAGGCTCGGAGGCAGGCTCCTCCCCCTACCAGCTCACCATGACCTTGCGTAGCTTGTAGTTCCTGGCACGGATGTCCTGCATCAGCATCTCAAAAGGAGTGAGCTGGAACTCGGTGGGCAAGGGGTTAAATTCCTGCTCCTGAACTTTCTTGAGCTTCACTCCATGGCGGAGCTCCCTCATGAGCTGGACCCAGAGTCGGGCCTGGGGCCCCAAGAAGACAAAAAAGGCCCTTAGACCCAGCAGGGTTCCCAAAGGCCCTGGCACAAACCCCAGGTTGGGGGGCTGCACCCTGTGTCCCAGGTTAGGAGAGAAGCCATGTCTTACCCAGTCTGTGTGTCCTAGGTTGTCAAGCTCTGCCAGGGGCTTCTCTGCTTGCAGCTCATCCTCCCGGAGCTTCTGCAGCATCTGTTGGTCCAGGAGAAGGTAAGAGAATGAGAGTCATGGGGAAATGGGTCCCTGCTGGTCTGTCCATCTGGGGACATTTCCCCAACACATTGGCTACTATTCCACCAGCTAAAAAGGGATGAGTGGGCATTTCTGACCAAGGCTTGGGCTCAGAAAGATCTAAGGAAACAACTCCATTAGTCTTGGAACCATGTGGGATACTTTGTGTCCCATCAAGTATCTGGCAGCTCCTCCTGGTTGAGGGCAGGGGTGAGAGCATGACACCCACCTAGCACCCATACGGAACCTCCTGTACCCTTCTCTCAGATGACTTACACAACCCAGAGAGGGGATACAGGGGGAAGCCCTCTGTCATCTGTGAAGAGCTCCCAGTCTTTCTTCAGACCCAGCTCTCCAGGTGCTTCCTCAGGAATACCTCAGCCTCTTTGCCCAGGGCACATGCACACCCACCCTCTTAGAATACCCATGCTTGCTTCTTGACACATGATCCCCGTGGCAGTTTTACATTTATCTGCTTCTCTGATTACTGTCTGGACTACTGGCTCCATGAAGCCAGAACCATGTATATGTTTCTGTTTTTTTCTCACTTGAGTACTCCTGGCTTCTAGCACAACATGACAGATGCTAGGTCTCAAACAATGGTTGAATGAATGAATAAATGAATGAATGCATGGGTGGGTGGATGGGTAGATGGATGAGTTACACAGCAAGTCCTGGGAAACAGACACAGGTTTGTAGTTCTTGAAGGAGAGAAAATGCTGTCATCATGGTGAGGGCCAAAGAGAACACCAAGGATTGTTAGGTAACTGTTCTTTGCTGAGAATTTGGGAAGAGGCTGCTAGATTCATTGCCTTTATTGTCCTGGATCATGACAGCAGCTGGAGACTGTTCCCATCAAGTCCCCTACCCTGGAGAAGCATCTAACCTTTAGCACACAGCTCCCACTTCACCACCTCCCCCCACCCCCATGACCTAGGACAGAACCGGTTACCCTGGTTTCACCCCAAGTTACTTGCTAAACTGCTTTGGGATGCTCTAGAAAATGCTGCCAAGTCTTGGAGCAGCACATGGGGTGTGATCTGGCTGATTCTAAAAATAGACCTGTGTGTGATCTGGCAGTTCCTGTGGGCAAAGGGCATGAAGGGTGGGTCTCTCACCCCTCCTGGAGTTTCTATACCTGTCCCTGAGCACGGTTTCTCTTCCTAAAATGCCAGCCCAGAAGTGTGTCACTGACAGACCCTCTTCTCACTCCCTGTCACTACCCATTCCCTGGACATCTCCTGGGTCAATTACTTGGAAGTCTAGAATGGTTTGCTCTTGCTAAAGAAAGAGCTTCCATTGTCTGGATAAGGAATTGATCTCAGTAACAGAACAGATGACTTCAGAGCAAGAAAAACAAAAGAATTAAGACCATCCACTAATTAGAACATTAGAAGAACGTGTCCAAGATGCCAAGAAGTGGGAAGGGGAAACAAGGAGTGGGCAGAGCAACCACACCCCCTTGGGGCTGTAGATGAGGGCTCAATGGCTCACTGACTTATCCTGTGCTGGGTCACAGGCTCCATCAATCAGAACAATCCTGAGAGTCTACTCAGACCCACAGGTTCAGGGAAGCTGGTCAGGGTAGAACCAGGGACCAGCATCAGGCAATTCCAAGAAACACCTTCTTCCATTTAACCAAGAATGGGTGAAGCAGATTCCCTGGCCCTCTACAAAGTCTGCATTTTGTCATCTGTGGCTGCGGATGGGAGGCAGAAGTCCCTGTTCCAAGACCCCTTGCTTCAAGGAAGTATGCCAGCCCCCTCCAAGGGAGAAGATGGGAGATTGAAGAAAGACTTCCAGCTAGTAATTCTGGGACCATGAAGAGACAGGACAGCCCTGGGAAGACTGCAGTCTGCCTATACTAACTCGCACTTGGGGCAAGGGACACCTTTCAGAACCTGTCTTTGCTTATTTGTAAAAAGAGTGGTGGAGCGCTCCTGTCACTGCATTTCCTACCTCCCCAAAACTCCAAGCACAGTGAGAACCTGTGGGCATGGACCTACAGCAAGGAGCCTTTAGCTCCTGTGTCCAGAAGGAACCCAGTGGGGAGAGGACACCCAGGCCTTGCTGGAGATGTAAACATGGGGACCTGGGGGGTCCTGGGGCCAAGAGGCTGAGAGCCTGTAACTTAACGTCCATGAACTTCAGCTCCTTCCTGGGCAAATGGGTTAAGAAGTAGGCTCAGGGTTAAGGTAAAACCTGCAAAGCATTTGGAGCAGTGCCCACAAAGAGTGCAGACAGCAAGCCTAGGCTACTCCCAGTCCTGAGCTGAGGATTTCCACTTCCTATTGGAGACAGAGGTACCAACACATGGGGAAGTGGGGGGATGGGGCAGGACAGATGCCAAGTCCTCTTTACCTGTGGTCCCTCCCACCTGCTCATACCACACCCAGCGCCCTGCTCCCCTTCCACATGCTCCACCTGGCCCATGCCTGCCCTGCTTGGCCTCCAGGGAGCCCTCAATGTACTCACCCCCCCCCCCACATCCCTGTGCACTCACCTCCTTGGCCTCACGGACCCTGGCGAGGAAGGCCCGCAGCTCCAGCGTCTCCACAAAGAGCGCCCGGCACACCGCCTGGTAGTGGGCCTGTGCACCCCGGGGGTCTGTCAGGCGTGCCGCACACAGCCGCATGGCCTGGGCAAAGGTGCGCACGGCACGGGGGCCACCGTCGGCCTCTTCTTCCTCCTCCGGGCCCCCATAGCCCTCATCGGCAGCCCCACAGCTGCTGTCCTCACAGTCATTGTTGGCCATGAGGTCGATGAGCTGCTCCAGCTGTGGGCTGAGCTCTCGCTCCTCACTGTCGTCCAGACCCCAGTCCAGTGCGCGATAGATGGCAAAGCCCAGTGACTGCACCATCTGCAGGACCAGGAGCCAGAGTGTCATGGGGGGTAGGGAGTAGCCTGCAAAGGATCCAGCCCGGAGAGGGACAGCAGCCCCACCAATTACAAGAGAACTTCCTGGGGATCCCTGGGTGGCTCAGCCGTTTAGCGCCTGCCTTTGGCCCAGGGTGTGATCCTAGAGACCCAGGATCCAGTCCCACATTGGGCTCCCTGCATGGAGCCTGCTTCTCCCCCTGCCTGTGTCTCTGTCTCTGTCTCTGTCTCTCTCATGAATAAATAAATAAAATCTTAAAAAAAAAACAACAACAAAACAAGAGAACTTCCTGAGATGAAAGTACAGCACACGGCTTCTGTCAGATGGCAACAGCTTGCTCCCCATCCAGAGGGTATATACTGTGAGCCAACCAAACATCACAAAATGCACACGATGCTCCCTAAACAGCACAGCCACTGTGGAAAACAGCTCAGCAAGTTCTTATGGTCAAACATGGTTTTACCACATGAAGTGGTAAACTCCTCTCCCGGATATCTAACCAAGAAAAAGGAAAGACATACATCCCACCCATGACTTCTCCTGGAATGCCCACAGGACAAACCTGACATGTCCAAATGTCTTCAATTGGTAGATGATAAACAGAGGTGACCCATCCTTACAGTGGGATACCAGGCAGCAGTGCGAAGGATCAAACTGCATGCACTCATCTTACACACACAGTGAACACAGAGTGATGAAGCCAAAGTCTCCTTGCTGCATGTTTCCATTTATACAAAACTCTAGGCAAGATAAGTCTAAGCTATAGCCATGAAAGGCAGATCAGTGGTTCCAAGCCAAGGGTTGAGATAGAGATTGGAAGGAACACAGAAGCTCACTGAATATAAAGCATACCCCAATAAATGTGATTTCAAAGGACAGTCAACTGAATTAAACATTAGCTTTTAAAGTAACATAATTGTTTAAGTCAGAGGAGAAAGACTAGCATGCTGGAATTGTTAGCTACACATGATAAAGTACAGACACTTGAACTAAAAAAAATGACATTCTCTCACTTAAAAATATTTTAAACTCCAGGTACATTCAATGTATGTAAATTTAACCCAAAAAAGAAGAAAAAAAGTGATGGCACCTGAGTGGGGGCAGGGAGCAGGTGGCGCTACCCAGGGACAAGTCTAACGGTAGCTGTTGGTACCCAGCCAGGTGTGAGGTCCACTATGCTGTTGTTTACTTTACATAGGCTTGAAGTTCTCCATTATTATTTCTTTTAAAAGTTAAAAAACCTTTGAGTTTTGTGAGAGAGAGACCTTTTAACTCAGCATTTTCTCAATTTTACTTGGTAGAAACCACTAGTTTCATGGACTACCATTAACTGGGAATCTGCGTTCTCTAGAGGACATCTGCAAAATACCGCCACTCCACTCATTATCTGTTCACCTGCCATCTGCACCTGACATTCCCTCACAGCAATACAGTCCTGGAAAGGTCCGATCTGCTCACACAGGGAAGAGCCACGTGCAGCTGAACACAGAGGAAATATGGATAACTCCCTAGGATCTGCTTCCAGTTTGCTTGGCTTTCATATTTTGACATTTCCCCTTTATGACAATGATACAAAATGACAATAGCACGCCTCATCTCATTAACTACTCGGACCCTTTTGCTGCTTAAGTATAGGACAACCCAAGAGATAACCTCTGGTTTGCAGGTAGAGGAGGAAGGCACCGTACCTCAGGTTACCTGACCACAGCTAGCAGCTGGCAGAGCTGGACTTGGGACTCCAGTCTGCCTGCAGCCTGTGCTCTAAGCCTATTGCAAGGTGGGAGGCTGCTTTGTGGCAAACGGAGCCACGCCCTCACCTTCCACCCCCAAGTCCGCCCAGCCTGGTGGATCTTGGAGGCCTCTGGCCTCTCCTCTCATTTCCTACATTGCCACCACTTGAAGCCTTGTATGTAAAAAAAAACAACCCCGGGGTGGGGGTGGGGGGGCTAGCCTGAGCAGAGCTGAAAGACAATATGGAGAAAATCAGTGTTAAGCAGGGGATAGGCACAAGACAGCCTATCTTGCAGAAATGCTTGAGCCTAGAGGGGTCACACCAGCAGAGGGATGGACCTGCTTACAAAGAGCAAGGACTCCAATGGAGCAAAGTTCCAGCCTAAAGTCAACAAAACCCCAGTCCACCCTTGGAGGCGGTTTTATCTCTGCTTTAGGCAGGCAAGGGTCACAACCCCAAATCATGAGTCAGAGGGCACAAGGCCAGTGCCGGGTGGAGTCCCCTGGGGCAGCAGGATCTCCAGAGAGGACCCACATGGCCATCAGGACTGCTGGGCTGGCAAGAACCATGGTTCACACAAATTCCCAGTGAATTCTTCCCTGGCCCAGAGGTAGATGCCAGGAAGGAGATGGTGGGAGCAATCATGCCCCCTCTCTACTCCACAGGCCCTGCTGACCCAGGGGCAGCTCTGTCCTGGTCTCTCCATTGGAGGCTGCACATGGAACAGGGCAGACAGGCCACGCAGGAAACCCCCTGCTCTAGCGCATCACAGAGCAGCACCCAAACCCATCCGTGCCTCTCCCTTTCTTCTGGTAGCTGGCCTGAACTAGCACCACAACAGTTAAAGGGTTAACTCCAACATGAGCCTTTTATCTGATAACTGCACCATTAAAAGCTTCTCTGTGCTCCAGCAGACACTGGAAACTCTCCCTGAAAGGCAAAGAGCCTGTTCTTTCCCATAAGGAAAAATCTGGGCAGCCAGCCAGAGTCTCAGAACCTCCAACCCCTCCCTGCCCATAGTGTTGCAAGAACTGAGCAGCCTGCAAACTGAAAGCCTCACAGAGAGAAGCGGCTGAAGCTGCAGGATAGTTTCACAGTTTTAGCTAGGTGCCAGTAGCAAGAATCTAGGTTAATATGACAAGTGGCCTCCTGCCATAGTTCCTGGGGTGAGGCTCTCAGGTTAATTTGTGGGGGCCTCCGAGCACAAGAGTCCAGATTGGACCCCACACACAAAGTTCCTTATAAATACTTTCAAAATTGATAACAGGTCTCTTTTGGAGTGGTAGATGGTAGATGCACATTCCACTCTGGGCAAGAGGGACAGCCCTGGGAGCACTGTCTGAAAGGCAAGGGAATGTTCCCGGGCTTTGGGTAAACAAAAGTATCCAGAATACTCTCAGTGGGCAAAGGAAGGCAGGACAGAAATGGAGAGGAGTCTTGAAAACATTTTTTTTTTTCCTGAAGTGAATTACAGAAAGCAACCTAGAGCAACAGTACCACTTCATAGAGCTCTGGACAGTCATAGGCTGTATGCTGCTGGGAAGGGTGTCTTATCATCAACATTATTAACTGCCAGCATGTAGTAATAAGGAAAAGCAGGAAAACTCTGGGATGATTTTATTATTGTTTTAAAATTCTCCACAACAGGGATCCCTGGGTGGCGCAGCGGTTTGGCGCCTGCCTTTGGCCCAGGGCGCAATCCTGGAGACCCGGAATCGAATCCCACATCGGGCTCCCGGTGCATGGAGCCTGCTTCTCCCTCTGCCTATGTCTCTGCCTCTCTCTCTCTCACTGTGTGCCTATCATAAATAAATAAAAAAATTAAAAATAAATAAATAAAATAAAATAAAATTCTCCACAACAGGGATCCCTGGGTGGCTCAGTAGTTTAGCGCCTGCCTTTGGCCCCGGGGCACGATCCTGGAGACCCGGGGTCAAGTCCCAAGTCAGGCTCCCCATATGGAGCCTGCTTCTCCCTCTGCCTGTGTCTCTGCCTCTCTCTATGTCTATCATGAATAAATAAATAAAATCTTTAAAAAAATAAAAAAATAAAATAAAATTCTCCACAACAGACTATATGGCCTTTTTTGGTCTGTGACCACCCTGCTACCCTGGTGTAACACTATGTTTGATATATAAATACATATTTGCATAAAGCTTTCTTAAAGGCAGTGGAATGATGATAAACATTAAATTCAGAACGAATTCCTGGGGGCAGGTGGATGGGACAGGGAGACACTGGTGAGATTTTAATTGTGGGTGGGATGGGGGTTCCTGGACATTGGTCACAAGCTGGTTTTCCTGTCTGGCCCCCCCAACCCACCCTCTGACTGACACTGTGTGCGCAGCAGGCCAACCCCACAGACCCCACAGCACATCACCTGTGCTCCCTCCCTCTGCTCAGTGGGAGACAATGCCAGGAGTTTGGGGGTGGAAGGGGAGAGTGAGGTGGGGTCCTGTCACCCCTGCCCCCGCTTCAGGCCCTCCAGGGCATGTCAGATTCTACATCACCCCAGTGGGCATCCTCACCTGCCCACTCTCTTCATCACGTCCCTTCAATGAAGCCCTTTGAGTATTTTATCTGTGTCCTACCACGTGGAAACAATTATGTAACTTTGCATGCTTTTTAATTTACATTATATGACATATGTTAATTTTAATGTGTATTAAGTAAATTTAAAAATTATTTTAAAGGTACCTGGGCTTCTGAGCTGGCTGGTGACAACACCATCATTGTGGACTCTGCAAGAGGAGATAACAGGCAGTCAAGACATGCCTTAGCATCCCCAGGCCCTGACGAATAGGGCCACCCACCCACCTTCCCTCTGAGGAACACACAGTGTAGCCCCCAGAGGCTCCAGTGGAACACCAGAAAGCTTAAACAAGCCAAGCTTCCAGTCATTTGGGAAGATACTTGAGGATCCATCTTTGGGCTGGACATCCAGGTACAGTGGCCAGGAGAGTGATACAGCCCCTGCCCACACCCCACATACCAGTCACACCCCAAAGTGACCCCTCAGAGTGAAGCAGCCAACAGGGTCCCCTGGGGAAGCATGGTTGGTGCTAGAGTGAGGAGGGAATGAGGAGAAAGCAGGTAAGTCTTGTTTGATGAAAGACCTCATGCTCTAAAATTCACAATCTGAACCCATGTGCCCCCAAATCACAGCAGAGTCAAATGAGAGACCCGGGAAATAACAGATTTTGCTCTGGAGTTCCTAAGAGCTGAGTGGAGTCAGCATCTGGCCACCATCTGGAGATCTGCCCCCAAACTGTCGGCGCCTCCATCAGAGAGTCAGAGTCTCTGGGTTGAATATACATTAGGCACTATGCATTTTATCATGTTTATTATTAGACAGGGCACTGGATTAACATGTTTATAAGTGCTCACTCATTGTAACCCATATACCACCTAGGAGATAGGTGGTTTTGTTACCCATTTCACAGATGAAGAAAGAGGCTCAGAAAGGTAAGCTAATTTGCCCCAAAGTATCACAGCTAGTAAGTGGTGGTGCCAGATGAGGCCATACCATGGAACCCTAAAATCTGCTTCAGCCGCTCCCTCACACCACCCCCGGGGTCTCCCAAGATGCCAGGCTGGATGAGACACAGAAAACCCACCTACTTCTACAGCCTTCCTTGAATTAAGCATCCAAGTAGAACCTGTGCTAAGGGGTGAACCTGAGTCGCCTTCTTTTTGGAATGAGGTAGGGCATAAAAAAAAAACATAAACCATGAAATCTCTGCTAAGTGAACCTGCTAACTCTGCAAATATTTTCAAAATGCCATTAAGAGCTAGGGAGATTGCCAAAGATAAAGGGAGTTTGTGTTGGGCTGATCCATTAAAATAATGGAAAACAATCTACTTCCAACATAAGGGAAGTTGAAAGTGAGCAGCAAGCAGTATACTGTGGCCCATGTTTGGGCATTCAATGCAAGTCCGTAGCTGTGACTAGATCAAGACAATGGAAAGTGGAAGAAATCAGACTCAGAACAAAGATACTCCCTGGAAGCAGCCAGTGTCCTGAGTTATCCTGAGGACCAAGAAAGGGAGGGAGTCAGACAGCCTCTCAATACCCTTTACGTACTAAGCACCGCACAGTCCTCTGGTCAACAGGAAGCCTTCTGGTTGGAATAATCTTAACGCATATGTCCCTGGTTTAAACAGTCTATATGTTAACAAAAATAAGTGTTTGTTAATCTACCTATATTTCAAGTTGAAAGGACTTGGGGATCTTTGGGTTTTGAGGAGCAAGCTACCCCTTAAGGGCAGAGATTGTGCCCAGCTCTTTGTTACAAAAGTAATACATGAGTTATAATGGGTTCAATTCACAATGACCTTATGCAGGTTGGTACCATGACTCCCTCTTCACAGGCAAAGAAACCGAGGCTCAGGCAGTGCAGAATGTCACACAAAACCATTGAGCCAGGGATCCCTGGGTGGCGCAGCGGTTTGGCGCCTGCCTTTGGCTCAGGGCGCGATCCTGGAGACCCGGGATCGAATCCCATATCGGGCTCCCGGTGCATGGAGCCTGCTTCTCCCTCTGCCTGTGTCTCTGCCTCTCTCTCTCTCTCTCTGTGTGACTATCATAAATAAATAAATTTAAAAAAAAAAGTTTTTCAAAACCATTGAGCCAATAAACGACAGAGGCGGAGCCCCCAGCAACCAATGCCAGACCCCAAAGTGCAGAGTCCTAACTTGAGCTACAATAACTTTGTTGCCAGGATGGTCACACAGGATTATGCAAACGACTTTCTGCTTTTTTAAAACAGTTTTAGGGGATCCTAGGGTGGCTCAGCGGTTTGGCGCCTGCCTTGGGCCCAGGGCGTGACCCTGGGGACCCGGGATCAAGTTCCACATCGGGCTCCCTGCGTGCAGACTGCTTCTCCCTCTGACTGTGTCTCTGCCTCTCTCATAACTAAATAAATCTTAAAAACAAAATAAAAATAAAAAAAAGATAAATCAGTCTTGAGGGAAAGTAGAGAGACCCAGACAGAAGTAGATGGAGGCAGGTAGGATGGAAGCATTCTCACTGGTCCATCAAGATCACACTGATGGGGGGCTGCCCCTCCACAGGGTGCTTCTCTCCCCCTGTAAGGAAGAACATCATTGCCAAGATGTACTGGGAAAGAAAAGCCACTGTGATGTCTTGTGTATAAAATAACAAATGAGGAGAAATCAAGACACGAGGGAGTTTTCTTGGAAATGATGACATGCCACGCTAGTATAAGATGAAAGATGATTTGGACTTTGTAGCCGGAGCTCCCAGAGGAAGTGCTTCCCCCTACCCAGCAGGTGGGGTAGGTGGTAGGAGGACAGTGGTCTGACAGCCTCACCCCTCTGTGCCTGGGTGGGGAGCATAGGGAAGAAGTGCAGTTTAGGCCAGACTGCCACCTATGTGTGGTCACGACCTTGAGGGTTTCGCCTCTCTGACCTCCTTTCCTCACCCACAGATGGAGACAATACCTGCCCAACCTAACTCACAAGGTTACCTCAACAGACACGTGGGGGAGCAGATGCAGATACCTCCTAGGACACAGTATCCTGTAAGGATGTGGACAGCTGTGATCACCGTGATGGTATCATCCATGGGGCCATCAGATCTCCCGACCAGGCTCAGCCCAAGGGCACCCTGCCTTTGACTCTCTTTAGGCTTGGGGCCAGGACAGGGAACAGTCATGGGGGAGCCAAGGATTCCCCTCTTCAACCCCTGAGGAGACCACACACGTGCAGGGGTGTGGGGAGGCTACAGCACTGGTTCCACTAGCCCCCCCCACCCAGGCTGCCGGGCACCATAGGGTTCTTAATTACCAACAATGCACACAGATGACAAAGGGGTAGGGGTTCTAGCTTGAGCCCAGGTAGCTCCTGTCTCTGCTCCTCTGGCTGAGTTCTCAGGAACACCTCTGTGGCTATGAGGCAGGGTGGACAGACCAAGGTCCCTGCAGGGCCCCCCTCAGTGCTGGTGGGGAATGGCAACAATCCCAAGGAAGGCAACCTGCAACATCTCTCAGAACTTCATCCCTGCTTGCCTTGGGTAAGCCAGTCTGTCCCACATGGCAGGGTAACTGAGCCCGTCACTCACAGGAATGCCCTTCGTACCAGTGAACCACTGGACACACAGATATCCACAGAAGATATGTGGGGACATTGCAGGAGGGGGCACCAGGCAGCCCCTAAAAAGGAGGAGGTATCCTTTGTAATGAGACAAACTGAGCTCCCTATTAAGGGGAAGAGCAGAGGGCAGCCCCCGTATTGAGAAGGGTATGAACCTGCACGCTGGTATAGACATAAAACACGTCCACTAAGTCTGCTCCTATTATGAGAAGGCTGGCAGGAGACTCCAACAGTTTCCCTTTACACTTGCTGAATTTGGAACATGTGCTATGGCATCAAGAAATTAATTTTTGTGCAAGTGTGAGAATGAGCAAGAGTGCAGTGTCCGCCTTGCTCTCCCACAATCCAGGGCAGGAGCTCATGGTCTGGAGCAAACATGGACCCAAAAGTGACACAATAGGTTCCTCAGAGTCTTTTTACAGGATGGGTATCACCTACCACACAGGTTGTTGTAAAGATTAAACAAAACCAGGGACACCCAGCCGGCTCCACTGGAAGAACATGTGACTCTTGGTTTCAGGGTTGAGTCTGAGCCCCACACTGTAGGGCATAGAGATTACTTACAAATAAATTCTTAAAAAAACAAAACAAAACAAAAATCATGTAGTGTCTGGCATCTAGTAAATGCTTCAATAAATGCTTGTTTCGCTGTCAAGAAACAATTTTAAAACTTAAGTAATGTCTGAGATCAAGCATTGGCTTCTAGAAGTGAGCTGGTAGCAAACCCAAGCTAAGGGGAAAGCACCTGCTCAAATCCGGGAAGTTGTGTGTGTGTTCAGCAAACAAGGGGAGAGCTCAGTGGGGCAGATGCCCTCAGAAGTTGGTGGCAGGCTCTTCCTCCTGGATCTCGCCTCCAGAACTGCTCATCTCCACAGCCATGGCTGACATCAGGCTGCTTCTCCATCCACTCACACACCAGCCACAGGGTGTGATTTCCTCCCCTGCAGCAAGAATCTAGGACCGCCATGACTTGAATCAATTCCAGGGGAGACCCAAGACCAGGAAATGCGTCAGAGACTCCCCACACTCCAAGCAATAATACTGTCAACCTTCTGCATTTTCACCAAGTTCTAGTAAGGGAAATGTCAGTGCTCCTCTGCTCCTACAGAACTTTTACACCCAGCGTCCACTAAGGTATCCTGGAGATTACCCCAGAAAGCCCCCACCGATAGTCATGGCAGACAGGTAGCAGGCTTGAAAGGATGCATTCCCTTCTGAGCACTCCTCCCCCTTGGCTAAGGATGACTCACTTGAACCTCCTGAGTACTTTTGGGGGCCCATCTCATGTAGTCCCCACCGTTGGCCCTAAATGCAGCCCAGAGAGGGTGAGAAACTTAGCCCAAAGTCACCTGGCTGAGATCCAATCCATATAGCCTTGCTCTGGAGCCAAACCTGGACCAATAGTTCTTCCCTTCACTGGGGTCATTCTAGTCACCTGAAGATGGAATGGGTCCTGGCCCTGGAGGTGTTTCCAATAAGAAGTGGGTGACCTCTTCTTAGGGTGTGGTGTGTAGAATCCACAGACAGTAGATTGGTGGTCAGAGTGGTTCTGGAACCAGCAGCATTAGCATTACTGGGAACTTGTCAGAATTGCAGATTCTTAGGGCCACCCCAGATCTGGGCAGAA